CTTCCAACTCAAACCGTTCTGTGATTCCATGATTCCGTGGATGGAGGTTGCTCATTTATGGCGAGGATGATCGCTTGGGCAGTGTATGCTGAAGTCTTCTTGGGAGGAAGCCAAAAAATGGGGAGGAGACCTTTGAATTGGGCGCTCCCCTCTAAAACTTGCTGTGGGTGTCTTCTGTAGTGCCCAGACAGCTGAGGTAGGGGCTTGGGGTGGGAGTGAGTTCAGCTGAGCTTTCTTTCGTTAGCAATTTCACGGCTGGCAGGAAAAAATGGCCAAGCCCCCGGCGCCTTTGCCGTGGGGTTTTAATGTCACTTGTCACTTAACGTCACTTACAGAACAACCACAGCGGCCATGTAGGAGCTCAGTACCTCAGGATAAGCTATCCCAGAAGGCTGCCAGGATGGAAAGAGCTGTCTTAAATGCCCCATCCAAACATTTCTTGTTTTGTGCATAAGAGATCTGCAGTGAGCTTGTGTATACGGTTACACACGCATCTGTCCTGCATGTAGGCAGTAAAATATATATAGCTGGAAATATAAGCTAACTGCTTTATTACGGGCGTTCTGAGTATAATCATGGAGCCTGGGCTAAACAAAGCTGGGGGTTACATGCATTGGAAGGCTCTGTATGCTGCTCTTTTTTCATTTATTTCATGATCTCCTTTACTAGTGCATCTCCTAAAGGTGTGCATGTTAAAAAGAGGGGGTGGGTAGCTGGGACTCGTAGCCTAAAAGCCATTAATCAAAAGCAGCATTGCACCAAAGAGAACAGAGGTGAGCAGAGCTGGAAATAATGGTATAGAAACATTTAGAAATACATGAAAAATTAAAGGCGGCTTTAAAATACCTACTTGATGCAGCCCTGTGTGCTCTTCGCTTTGCACAGCCAGTTATTGCATCGTATTTTTTAAAGCAGTTCAGTTAGTGCTTCTCAGAACTGGAGAGCTGTATATTTTCCTTGGGGAGAACATTAAATGAACACTGGCTTTCCTAGTCCTATTGATTGTGGAGATGATATTAAATTAAAATAAAGCAAGAAAACAACTTTTGATTTCTTCTGTGAGGGATCCAATAAATTTTGTTCAATATGTTTTCATCTCATTTTCTTTCCTTCTGCATCATTGCTGTAATAACGCCCCAAGCTCCAGCAGAAACAGGGTCCCATCATGTGCAGATCTGTACAAGTAGAAAGTAAAGGAGATTTTCCTTCTGTCCCTGACATTTTCATGTCTCCGGCAGGAAGCCCATGAAGATTAGCAGCACTCAACATAAAACAAGTGGGTTTGGCCCACTTGCTGTTATTTTCAATTCAAGGTGAAGCGGCAAGACCGACGTGGCAGGAGAGGAGCAGGGGCAGCAGGAAGAACAGGACCGAGGGATTCTTACGTATAATTCTATTATATCTTGACTAAGTTAAGCGCTCCTATGGCAATATGCGCGTGCCTCTTTGAGTAAATCATAGAATCAGAGAACACCGGGTTGGAAGGGACCTCGAGGATCATCTGGTCCAACCTTTCCAGCACAATCTAGACGAGATGGCCCAGCACCCTGTCCAGCTGAGTCTTAAACGTGTTCAGTGTAGCAGAGCCAACCCCTTCCCTGGGGAGATTATTCCAATGATTGACTGTTCTCATGGTGAAAAATTTTCCTCTCGTGTCCAGTCGGAATCTCCCTGGGAGTAACTTGTACCCGTTACCCTTGTCCTCACCATGGGACTCCTTGTAAAAAGGGGGTCTCCAACTGCTTTGTAGCTCCCCTTTAAGCACTGGTCCATGGTGATGAGATCACCTCTAAGCCTCCTTTTCTCAAGGCTGAACAAGCCCAGCTCTCTCAGCCTGTCCTCACACGGCAGGCTGCCCAGAGCCTGGATCATCTTGGTGGCCCTTCTCCGGACCCCCTCTGGGCTGGGGGGGATCCGGGCTTTGTCTTATACCCAAGGGGATCTGAGACATGGGGACCATCATGGGGATCGCAGCTTTTGCTTTCCTGAGGAAGCTTGTCTGTGGTCATTTGGGGGATGACGAAGAGCCAACAAACATAAATCCTAACAACTCAAAAACCAATAAGGTGTAAAAATGTCTCATGTATTTTTAAACCCAGTGGGTTTTGAGCACTGGGAATTTTCAAGCACGTTTCCCCTGGCACAAATTGCCCCAGATTCTGCTACTTTCTTATCTTTCAGTATGTCCAAAAAAGGAGCAAACCACATTAATTTTCCCACACCTTCCCCATCTCCGTTTCCCCTTAAAATAGAAAGGACAAGTTTTCTTGCTGGAGGTCAGCACTTATCAAAGTTTATGAGATCAGAGTGGAAGATAGAGTAGAGCAGGGCTGGCTGCATCTTTTCGCATCCAAAGCTATTAAAGCTTCCTTGATAGAAACGGTATTTATCTGAAATTATTCTGAAAATGGCCATAACTTTCTTTCAGAATAACAAAAGGTACCACAGTAAGCAAGATGCAGTCCTACCAAGCAGAAGTTAAATCCCAAAAAAGAGAAAGAAGACCTAAATATACTGCTGTCTCCATCTGCCTGAAATAGCCGTGAAGTCTTTCAATAATTGGCTGGATGGAAAAGCTTACCCAAAGCCACAGTTTTCCTGTGGTCTGAAAGTGGTCTGATTTATTTCAGGCTTGTTTTTTATGTATAAACTTAATGTTGAAAATTTGGGTCTGAGTAAAAGAGAAGGGTTTTTTGCTGAATTTGATAGTGTGTGAGTGCTGGTCATATCGCAGAGGGCACAGATGAAACATTTACTGCATGTAGCCACACAGGACTATGTTTGTCATGGTTGTTGACTTAAGGATTATTAGTTAAGGACTATTATTAAGGACTACTGCAGCAGTTCATGGGATTCAGGACTTATGTGGGGGGATTAACCAGCGGTAAAGACCAGAAGAACCTCTTGGTGTCCCAAGAGGCTGTCATCTAGATCCCATCCCTAGACCCTAGACCCTAGAGCAAGGGTCTTCCCGACACCATGCCATGCACAGACAGCCATCGGCTACTAAACTGTGTGCCGAGGAGGTAAAACCCTGCGGAGAAACATGGTTGAGAGAATTATAGGGAAAATACGCTTGTTATGGTCAAGAAGTGAGCTGGAATTGGTTTAACAAAACCTCTAGCCAGATGGGTCAGGAGGCAAAGTGGGATCATCGAGCTCGAGCAGGCAACAGGAGGACCCTGGAGCGATGAATGTACTGGAAAAGAAATGGTTATCTTCTAATGAAGCGGAGAGTAGGCAGGGATATTTCTGATTTAAGATCTTCATCATTAATGTTCTGCTTGCAATCACTGGATCTGCAAATAACTTTCCGAGGAGCTTCTTGATTGCTAAAAGGCTGTATATATTCCTGAGTACGATGACAACAGAGTTTTATGTAGCCTAAAAAAAAAAAAAATCTGTTAAACTGCTGCTTATCCAACATTAACTACAGCAATTTTTAATTAACCTGATTTAGAAGCCAAATATATCACTGATGAAAATGAGAGGGTAGAACATACAGTCATTTATTCCAGTACAGTGGTCATGATTGTTGAATTAGATTTATTCAAATGAACCTCAAAATTTTGCCGCAGTAGTCGGCTGTGTGCCGGGTGCCAGGTTTTAGAAATCCACACGTAATTGAAGAGCAGTGAGCTTTGGGGCATGGGAGGGAGAGGTTGTGATGTGTTTGTCTTGCTGCTCAGAAAAGGGAGGAAAGACCCACGCTCACTTTTATTTAATAAAGCAAAAAGAAAAAAAGATGGGGTGTGAATCGACTGCTAATTACCTCTTTCCAGCCTTTGCTGGCAACCAGCAGACAGCGTCGGTGGAGCTTGGCACAGAAAGACTCTCCAAGGGTCATTTTGTCTGCCGTTGGGTTGGCTCTGCTCTGGGACGATGGCCAACGAGATGCACAGATAAACCAGGGCAGCGGCCGTGGTGGTGATGCACAGCAAAGCCAAACTCTCTGCCAGCAAAGGAAGATTACCATCCTGTTCAGTCTGTTGGAGGGATTTACGCAGGAGCACGTAAGAAGGGATGGAGTTATTCGAGTGTTACTGTTTTCAGTCGGGAAGACTTCCAAGAAATGGAGGTAGGGCAGTAAAACAAAAGCAAAATGGAGCAGACCGAGGCGTGGAGGTTGTCGTCTGTGGTCTTCATGGAGGACAAGAACTTCTAATGAAGTAAGAGGTTGGTGCAAGACATCTGCACTGTGCGTGGGTGCACACAGGGACTTGGGGCTGCAGTGTACGGTGATTTCCAAGCCTCCACGTGGCTGACTGCTTAGATGATTTCCCCTGAACTCCCTATGACCGCTCCAAGTGAAGATGATGAAAATTGAAGATGTTCTGCAAACTTTTCTAAAGTGCCCATTAAAACCTCATGCGGCTTCAAAAGGCACGAGCTGCCGTGTGTGTTCCTTCCAGGTGGCCTGGCAGGTAATCGGGTCCTTCCCAGGGATGGCAGTTGTGCAGCCATGAGTGAATATAAGGGCTGGCATGTTTTCTTGCAACGTCTCTACCTTCCCTTTAGCAAGAAGCTCTGGTTAATAGAAGTGCTGAGCACCGAGGGCTCGGGCTGGGTGCTGTGCTCTGCTGTTAGAATGCAAAGTGCTACGATGATCAAGCTACGATGACTGCAAGCAGCCAAGGAAAACCTTTCAAATATAGCTGTGCTGGTGGGTTTTGGTAGCTGAATTCTGCATTCAGTGTGTGTATTTTCTCGGTAGTTTTCTTCAGCGCACGTTGAACATTCCTGCGTTCTGCATTCTGGTTATCGTCCTCATTTTCTAGAGGAATAAGGATGAAATATTGATGATGTCATGCCTAAGTCTGTGGAACACATTCATAGTCCTTCCTATACCCTGGCCAACTGAGAATACATCTGTGCTTTACCTCTCAGCTGCTGCCGATAGCCTCTTTGCTCACACAGGTTGTTTATTGCTTTCCAGGGATGCTGTCCTCTTCTCTCTCCCTCTTGACAAAAGCATAATTTCTCTTTTTTTCTCATTGCAGGTTATCCGACGGGCTATCCCACCGCTGCCCCAGCCTACAACCCAAACATGTATCCAACCAGCAGCCCCGGCTACGCCCCAGGTAAAAATCTGTGTATGGAGACGAGATCGGGCATGTTGTAGCATGCGGGAGGATTTACCTTTTGCTGCTCCTGTACAAAACCCAGCAGTTTCCATGTGCTTGTCAGCAAATACTTCCCAGGGAAGGGGCCTGTGTTAAGCTCTTCCCTTCCTAACTCTGCCATTAACTTCTGCCCTCTGTTGAGAATATTTGTCTATGTTGCAAAGTACTTTTGAGCCATGAATTGTATCTTAATACTAATCCCAGGAATTTTACAATCCTCATTGTTGCGATACCTGCACGTTGGTGGCTTTTAATATTTTCTGACTACCACACGCTGTCTCCCTGAGATTGCCTTCCCCTTCCCCCTGCTTGTCCTTCTCCTTCCATGTCATAGATGCAGAAATGTCAGCAACCGTGTCCTGTTTGGTGTCTGGATCTCCATGCCATGTCTTTACTGTCCCCCTCTTTCCTGTGGCACTGACGGACTCTGGGTCTGTCCTCGTGTCTTCTTCTGTCCAACTCCTGCCTTTCACGCTGCCCTAAAATGGCTCTTCCAAAGGTGCAGCAAGCTCTTCATGGCCAAACTCAGGACCTCTTCTGCCTTAGCCTTGGTGTGCTGGTTATCTTTGACAGCACCATCTGCACTCTTCTCCATAAAACCTTATTTTCCCTTGGCTTTCCCAGTTTGGCCAGTTGTTTTCTACCTCTGCTGCAGCGCGTCCATTGGGACGTATTTGTCATCTGCCTCTTCCAGCTTTCCGTGAAAGCTCGGCCAGACTCTGACCTTTATTCCCTTCTCCACTACTCCCCATCTATCTCTGGGAAGCCTTACTTGGAGGTACAAGGTCTTCATTTTTCAGGGAGGTCTTCCTTTTTCACACCAGCCACATGCTCTTTTGCATCCTCTTTCGCAGTTCCTCTGAACCATCCTACCAGCCAGGCCGACGGGTAACGCGTTCACCCTCCGTAGCTCAGCCCCTACCCTGGAGCCCTGCTCTCTCTGCCATCTCCAACCTTGACAAATTCTCCTCCATCCTTCTGGAGAGCTGGTACAAAAATAATTTTCCCAGTTCACTGCTTTAACTGTGTCGCCCCCCTCTTTGCCTCCCTCTTCCTCATATCTAGCACAGGCTACTCGTCTTTATTTACAGAAACAACGCCCACTCCATTTATTCTTGGTGTCCAGAGTCTTACTGCTCTGTCAACTCAGCCAATGATGTCTGTCCTCTTCACCTCTTACCTTTCCAAGTGTCTCCCTTGTTCCTTCTACTCCTCTTACTGGAAGGAGGCTTCCCCTTATCACCCACAAAGCCATTTCTTGTTTGAATTCCTCCATTAGCCATGATTTTTTTTGACAAAACCCCATGACTAGACTGCCAAGCTCCTTCCCTTCCCTGCTGTTGAGCACCATCTCTCCGCACCTCCCTTCCATCTGGTTTCCGCTGTTGTCTCTTGGCCCAACACGTACCCAGCCCATGGCTCTGGTTATGTTGCTCTGTGGATGCAGAGAAAGGTCTGGATGGAGAACACACGTGTCCAGGACTTTCCTGCCTGGCCAGAGAGAGCTGGAGAGGAAAAAGCCATCAAAGCATGTGGGTGGCATGAATACAAACCCTGTCCATCACTTTGAGGTTGAACACCTCATCTACATGATGAGAGGGGAGATGGGGGAGTTGCTTATAGCCAAGGGCTGCCAATGGTGGAAGATTCACGTAGATAGGACAGAATGTAAATTAATCATGGGAACTGCCATCAAATAACTCCAGCAAGGACACTTCTTATTCCAGAAGAAGTGGACCTTCCACTGGTTTTAACTCAGAGAAGTCACTCCAAAGCAGGAGTCATGGAGTAAATCCCACCTGCCCAGAAGGAGTTGTCTTCACCACAGCACGGACTAATGAGGTTCTGTGCTTAATGAGGAATATTTGAGTTGCTCTGCTAAATCAATCACTTGCTTTTTTATGCTTTTGAGCCGAAACTTGGAAACCTTTATAGAAATCTTTTTCTTTTTGGAGTTGAAGACTTCTTTTAGGCCCCCACTCAGGAAATAATTTAACTGAAGTCAAACCTACATTTAAGTACTTCACTGAAACCAGCCCTTTGGAAGAACCAAGCGACCTTGAGTTTATAAAGCGCGGTTAAGTTCTCTGCTTTCAGTCAAATTACCTGGGGGACGGGAGCCTCTTGGCATGACAAAGGGTGGTATAAACCCAAGGGCTAAGTAGCAGTTTCAAAATGTAACTCTTATCCAGAGTGAATTAAGTGAAAGGTAGTATAAGAAAAAGAAATCTATTTAATAGCAATCTTAAGATCTTGTTGCCCAGAGAAGCTGTGAATGCCCCATCATTGGAAGTCTTCAGGGTCAGGTTGGATGGGGCTTTGAGCAACCTGATCCAGTGGAAGATGTCCCTGCCCGTGGCAGGGGGTTGGACTGGATGATCTTTGAAGGTCCCTTCCAACCCAAACCATTCCACCATCAGAAGGTTATTTATTAGCTGGGGGGGTTTCAGGCTGTAGTGTGTTATCAGAGCATTTTCTTCAAGGGATATGGTCACATAGGGCAAATACAAGAATTGGCAGTGTCTGAACTGTGATTGGAAAAGCATTTCGGAAATCAGGACTGTGCCTTTTTTCATGGTTTTTATGAATAAGGCCTGAAAAAATCTCTTGCTCACCCATTTCCAAGCACACATTGGAGATGAAAAATAATATCTCGCCCTTGGTTTTGACTTCAGGGCTTTTCGGTTGGCCGAGATCTTTATTCTGAATGCTTCGCCTCAAAAGAGCTGCGGGATTTTAAAACTTCTGAATAAAGCCATCTTTTCAGCTAAGTGTTCGGTAGTCATGGGAGTGAAATAGATGCTTGAGTAGCGAACGCAAGCCGGACTTTGCGGCAGTCTTGCTAAACCCTTTCTTCTCTGAATTGCCAAGTTTTCAGTCTCCTGGTTGTTGTAAAATCAGTGGATCTCCAGGCTCGGGAGCTTTCCAAGGCTGAT